CTTCTCAGAGACCTCTGATGCTACAAAGGTCAGCTTTAGAACAAAGTACCGTATACCAATGATTTGTATGTTCTGACTTGCTTTCTCATTTCTCATTTACTTCTCTCTCTCCATCTTTCTCTCACACGAACTCACAGTCTCTCTCTCTCTCTCTAATTTCTTCTCTTCTTTCTACATTCACCTCTCCATCCTGTACATAACTTACACTGTAATTTCAATAATGGCTCCAATAAATCATGGAAGATGACAGAGCATGATTCAATCGGAATGGTTTTTAAAAAGGCAGCGCTTCCTTCCTTATCAGAGGAAATTATCCTCCTTCATAGAGTCGGAAAACGAACTCTTAGTTGATTTCAATAGTTCATTCCACTTTTACACGGGGCCTCTTCCACTTTACAGTGTTGCTGGTGTTTTGTGAAAAATTTAAAAAAAAAAACAGGAAAATGTCTCAGCATCATCTTCTTTTTAAAGAAAAGATTTTATTTCGGAATAATCAATGGATTGCCAATATTTGAAAACACGTTCCTTTATCAGATCACAAATATGTTAGGTCTCCTTCTTGGAGAATCTCTCTCCTTGGAGATTGGCCCTATCTCCAATGTCATTCATGTACACCAGATTTAATGAGGCCAAAAATAGGCTGTTGGATGCATATTAATGCTGTTCAAAACCTTAAGGCTTCAGAATAGATTCAGGAAAGTTGTTTTGTTTAAATAGCCCCCAACTATCAGGGGTGGGATTCAATTTTTTTTACTACAGGTTCTTTGGGCGTGGCATGGTGGGCGTGGCAGGGGAAGGATACTGTAAAATCTCCAGTGAGGTGGTATTTGCCAGTTCTCCAAATTACTCAAAATTTCCACTACCAGTTCTCCAGAACTGGCCAGAACCTGCTGAATACCACCTCTGTGAAATATGCTAAAAATAAATTTCTGGAAGCATGTTCAGAAGATAGCCATGAAATCTTGAGCAATGTTTTGAAGAGTTTATATGCTTAAATGTCCTTCTCTGAATTATTTCCATAGCCCTGATGCTCATTGTCCCAAGAAAACCTCTGTTGCTGCATTCGTGGCATCTTAGGGACACCAGAGACTGCGAGAGGAGGCAAAGCTGCATTTGACTTCATTATGTTTGATCTGAATTCTTAACAAACTCTTGAAACTAAACGTCTGTAAAGGTAAGCAAAAGGTTTTCCCAGTCAAATCATGTCCAACTCTAGAGGGTGGTGCTTATCTCCATTTCTTGGCAGAGAGAACCAGCATTGTCCAAAAACCCTTCCATGGTCCTGTGGCCAGCATGACTGTATGCTGAGATGCACTCACTGGAGTGGTACCTATTTATCTACTTGCTTTTGCAGGCTTTCGAACTGCTAGGTGGGCTGGAACTGAGGCAAGAACAGGAGCTCCCCCCATCATGTGGTGCTTGGGTTTTGAACTGCCAACCTTCTGTTCGACAGGCCCAGCCCAACCACCATGATGATCCTAAAACAAAACAAAGTTCCTGCCCTAAATTTGAAGTGAGAGAGATCATTCATTCATAGATAAACATCTTAACCAGGGACCATAGATAACTGTGTGAGAAGCTTCCTGTATCCAGGCATTTTTATAGCATCCTCACTTTCAGTGGGCAGAAGCAATAGCCAAGTCTTATCTTCTACCTCATGGAAGATGTGAAGCCTACTGTATCAACATGTCATATCATATGTATCAGAAACACGACTTCAGCAACAGAGTGGTCAATGTCTGGAATACTCTACCTGACTCTGTGGTTTCTTCCCCAAACCCCCAAAACTTTAACCTTAGACTGTCTACTATTGACCTCACCCCTTTCCTAAGAGGTCTGTAGGGGGCGTGCATAAGCGCACCAACATGCCTATCGTCCCTGTCCTATTGTTTCTTTTTTTTCTTATTCATATCCATTTCATGTATTCATAACCATGTTTATACCTATGCCTGTTATCTAATAATCGCTTGACAAAATAAAATAAAGCAGAGGCAGCCATGCTCGTATAAATTCTCCTTCAGTCGAAATAAACTGTTGCTGTTTCATATCTGAATAGGACTAGAGAACTACATGTACTTGCTTGAAATCAAGAACCATTGACTTCAAAGGGACTTCTCTAAAGTAAGATAATATATAGACCTGGCCATTTTATAGCTTGTGGGCCAGTGGTGGGATTCAAAGAATTTTACTACTGGTCCTATGGGTGTAGCTTAGTGGGCGTGGCAGGAGAAGTATACTGTAAAATCTCCAGTCGGAGGTGGTGTTTGCCGGTTCTCTCAACTACTCAAAATTTCTGCTACCGGTTCTCCAGAACTGGTCAGAACCTGCTGAATACCTCTGCTGTGGGCCACAGGAAAGCAGGAAAGAAGGCTTCCCAGTGGTAACTGTTATATCTGGGAGGACTGTTCAAGAACGGAGGCAAGACTCAGATAGCAACAACAGCTCTTTATTTGTGACTTCAGATCTGAGCAACTAACCCCAGCCGCAGCAGCCCCTTATATAGGGCTGGCTGCGGCTAGGCAGCCAATGAAGGCGATTTGAGTTTGCCGCTCTTGGCAGGGCCAATCGCGGCAGCCCGTTTACTGGCCAATCGCATCAGTCTATGGCGACCAATCACGATCGGCTTTCAGCGGGCCAATCAGATTTGCAGGCTACGAGCCTGCTAGTCCGGAACAGTAACTTAAGTAAGTGGTGTTTCTGACTATGTGCTTATGCACATGACTTCGGCTGTAATAAAATACTGGGTCCTGTGTTGGTCTATCAAATAATGTACTATAGTTTTCAGGACGGATCTGCAGTGAATGATGGGCAAATTTTCATACAGCTCCTTGTTTATGTTTTGTAGATGAGACAAACATGGAAGACAATTGTTTATACCAGTGATGGGATTCAAAATATTTTACTACTGGTTCTGTGGGTGTGGCTTGGTGGGCATGGCAGGGGAAGGATACTGCAAAATCCCCATTCCCTCCCTACCCCACTAACCTGATTTCCAGCTCCATTCTCCTGTGCAGGGCAACAAAAGTAGATCCAGCTGATCTGGAGGCAGGGAATAGATGAGGAGAGGCCAGTTGGAGGTGGTATTTGCCGGTTCTCTAAACTACTCAAAATTTCTGCTACCGGTTCTCCAGAACTGGTCAGAACCTGCTGAATACCTCTGCTGTGGGCCACATTTAGCCCTGTGCCTGTCCCTGTCCATCCTGCAGCGTCGGTTTGGAATTGGCAGGGGGCTGGGAGCAGTGGGTGGCATGGGCAATGGAGCAGTGGTGGGATTCAAATTTTTTTATTACCGGTTCTGTGGGTATTGCTCGGTGAGTGTGGCAGGGGAAGGATACTGTAAAATCTCCAGTCAGAGGGGGTATTTGCCGGTTCTCCAAACTATACAAAATTTCCGCTACCGGTTCTGAACTGGTCAGAACCTGCTGAATACCACCTCTGCAATGGGGGCAGGGTAGTTGGGGAATCAGGCAGGGAGTGGGACAGGGATGGTGGGTGGGTAAGGGAAAGAGCATGGTGGCAGGCCCTCCACAACCGCTCCCATTTTTCATGTGACCCCTGAGGAAACTTATTTGCCCAGTCCTGCTTATATAGATTTAGGTGTGCTGATTGATTATGGGCCACCCAGTCGGTGTTGACTCTTAGTAATTGCATAGGTTTTCTCCAAAGTGATCTATTTATTCTTTTAATAATATTCAAAGCCATCCATGTCATGTTACAAAACAGGGGCAAATCTTTTGATTTAATTAATTCATTAAACATATAAAGTGCAAAGTGGCACTCAATGAACAAAAAAGTGGACTGTGGACCTGAGGGAATATGCTAGGAAGAAACAGGAGGAGGAGGAGGAGGAGGAGGAGGAGGAGGAGGAGAAAAAGAGAAGATGATTAAACATATAAAGTTGCTGCCTCTGGCTATTCCTTCGGTGCCAGAAAACAACAGTGAAATCAGCAGAAGTAAATTATTGGAAGTTTCCCGATGAGGCCATCCAATAATAATAACGCCTGGTTTGGTCAGAGCTCCCAAATCATTGGAGCTTGACTCCACTTTCCATCCATGTTGAGCTACAACCTCAGTTCTTGGGATCAGGACAATTTGCCATCAGAGGAGGACAAAATGGCGGCCCCTCCGCCATTCTAGGCATTTTGCTTTGAGAGCACTGAGGAGACACCATCTCAGGCCAGTTCTCAGGATGACTCAAAGTTTATTCTCTGCCAAAAGTAAATTCCCAAGAGCCTCACCAAAGGAGCCAGGGGGCTGCTGCCCTTTCCAGCCACAAACTAGCACCTGCTGCCTAATGGTCACTCTACTACGTGGCCAGCCTGCTTGTGCTGCGCAGGGAGAACCAGCCGTGGACTCAAAGCTGCAACCTCCAGAGGAGGGAAGCTGTGGGCGTAACTCTTATTAATGTCCATGTGCAGCACCTTATTTCCATGCTGACCTTAGTGCACGTGCCAGAGGTCCATTAAACTGCTGATTAAATAGATCAACAAGTGCTTTGGCAATAATTTGATATTTAATGTTCAGCTTGCTATTAAAATGCTAATTAAATGTTTTAACATGCCACACATGTTTTATGTATTAATAAGCAATAAGCATTCAACTTACACTTCTTGTGTGATTTAGAATTAATTGAAGGGTAGTGAGGGTTCCTCCGTTATATACCTATTAAACCCCTGTAACTGCTGTTTTTACAGTTGATTGGTGTTCATTTAACATACCATAATTGCTCTTTAAATACGTTAAGTGCGTCTTTGAGACAATTTACAGTGTAGCAGTTTCCCAGCAGTATTCCTCAGAGGTATATGCAAAGTGGCTTCTGTGCTGGAATTCTCCCCGAAATGCATGGCAGAAACCCTCCTCCCACTTTGCATTGTGAGCGAAGTGAGAGGGCGGAGTGGGAGAGGGGGCAGACTCTGTCTGTGCAAGCTGAGAATCTCAAGAGGAGAAACTGGTTCCCTGGGTGCTAAAACAATGCATCACACCTCCCATAGGCTGGGGGGGGGTGGAACTAGAGGAGGGGGGTGGGGGGTGGCGGCTAATAGAGATGTTTTGCTGGCAAGCCAATTAGACGGCATGAGATAATGAAGGCATCTGTAAGTATTCTGTGCTCTTTGGGCAAAGCTGTGTCTGCTCGTCGTCTGTGCTAATCTTGCCAAATCTTGAGAATGCCATCATTGCAACAGCCGGGAACTGTTGTCTAACTTGGCTGCTTCTGTTGTTCTTTTATTATTATTGACTTTCCCAAAGGAGGGAAGCACAGAACCAGGTTCATTTCAAATGTCTCCATCAGGCTGATAGTGCTGGACTCTTTCTTGGTGGGGATTTTTTTTTTTTTGGGGGGGGGGGGGGATTCTTTAATTAATGTTTACTTGAGTTTTTAATTGCCTTTGTAGTCTTAGCAAAGCAACATTTCTTTAGCAATGGAATAGTGTGCGGTGTTTGTAATCATGGCGTCGCTTTGGAACGATGCCTTTGCAAATGGTAAGGGGGCAAATTTATGTCAGTCGTAGATCCTTTCCCTTCCTCTGGTCTAAAACAGTAATAGATTTGGCTTGCAGTTATGTTACGTTCAATGGGAGTTCAAAATATCCATAGGTTTAATGGTATGTGGGGAAGACCTTGGGGGACAAGGAGAGGAGCCACAGCCAGGAGAATGGATTGGATAAGAGGCAGCTTAGCCCACAGAAGGAACGTGGGCATGGCAATATCTCAATATCTCCCTTGTTTCTTGAGCTAATAAAGATGATGGGAGTGAAATGTACTTTCAGACTTGCAAGATTCTGTTAATGTAGCCTTAAATAAAGGTTACATCAATAAAGTAGAAATAGTTCATGTTAATGTGCTCCTTGTCTGGACTGTTTCCCAAGGTTGATGCAAAGGTAGGTGAGAAAAAGCTTGGGAGATGTGTGGCAAAGACACACTGTCTAGGGAGCAGTCAGGTAAGAGACAGCATCGCCCACAACTGGATAGCGGGTAGAGACTTGGAAGGGACTCTCCTTGGGCTGTAAAGGAGATGGTGGGAAATTTGTATTTTCAGACTTGTAAGATACTGTTAATGTAGCTTTATAATAATGTAGAATTAGCTTATCAATTACGTTTCCTGTCTGGTCTACCTCAGAAAGCTTACTGCTGACGATAGGATTTCTGTGTTCCGAAATCAAAGTATCAGTTGTGTTCAAAGCAAATAAGTAGCAATAGCAATAACATTCAGACTTACATACTGCTTCAGTGCTTTACATCCCTCTCTAAGCAGTTTGCAGAGTCAGCCTATTGCCCCCAACAATGTTTGGGTCCTCATTTTACGGACCTCAGAAGGATGGAAGGCTGAGTCAACCTTGAGCGTGGTGGGATTTGAACTGCCAAATTGCAGTCAGCCGACAGTCAGCAAAAGTAGCCTGCAGTACTGCACTTTAACCACTGCGCCACCCTGGCTCATTAATAAGTAGCTCATGCACACCAGTGACAGGTGAGCCACATGGGGAGTTTTGAAATGGCTGTGTTGCACCATGCCTGGTTGAACAAAACACTAAGATATAAATTGTGGGTTTATGAATAGCAATAACTGGAATCACTCCATATCTTGCTAGTCACCAAGAAGCAATTCACATTTTGGCTTAGTACCTGGTTGTTTTCTCATAGTTAGAATATGTATTTTGTTTATTCATTTAGTAGATTTATACCCCATTTTTCATTCAGGAGCTCAGAATATACTTTTGTGAGATTGAGAACAAATGGGTCAAAGTCACTCAGGATGCTTCCGTGGCTGAGGGGTGATCCTAGACCAATAATGAAAGTTCAGCATTCTTGCCGATTGATTTCACATCGCCCAATTCTGCCAATGATATTTTTTCTCTCTGCTGTGCTATTCCCCCGTAGTACTGGCTTCTTGTTAGTTCAAAGATCAAAAGAAACAGATCACGGTCTCTGACTATGGCATTCAATTTCAAAGAGTCTAATTCCTCTTTTTTTTTTCATTGTGCTACTAAAACACGATCTATAAAGCTTGATACAATAAATTATTTCAGTACAATTATATTTAAATGCTTAAATTCTTAACATTCAACTGTTTAGGCCTCCTAGAGAAAAACCGAGAATACAGAGAAAAACCAAAAGACTGGAGCCTCTTATCAATATCAGTTATAGTTTTTATTGCTTTTAAAATAAAGACCAAAAAGGAAAACAAAACCCCAAAAAACTACAAAAATAATAATGATAAAAATACAGACATTATCAGAAGAAAACACACACGCATAAAAAGTGGTTGAGGAAAAAATGAAGAAAAACAAACAAAAGAAAAAAAAGAAAAAAATGCTTTGGAAATGAGGAGACGAATGTCTGGTTTCTCTTCAGACATATGACTCTTTCACTTCATCAACTCTTCTGTTGATGAGTTTGGATGGCTAGTTGAGGAACTCTGGGAGTTTAAGTCCCCAAATCTTAAAAGTTGCCATGTTTGTAGACCTCTGGCATAAACCAGAGGTGGTATTCAGCAGGTTTTGACCAGTTTCAGAGAACTGGTAGCGGAAATTTTGAGTGGTTCAGAGAACCAGCAAATACCACTTCCGACTGGCCCTGCCCCCATCTATTCTCTGCCTCCAGATCAACTGGATCTATTTTTGTTGCCCTGCATAGGAGAATAGAGCTGGAAATCAGGTTAGTGGGGTAGGGAGGGAATGGGGATTTTGCAGTATCCTTCCCCTGCCATGCCCACCAAGCCACACCCACAGAACCAGTAGTAAAATATTTTGAATCCCATCACTGGTATAAACAATCGTCTTCCATGTTTGTCTCATCTACAAAACATAAACAAGGAGCTGTATGAAAATTTGCCCATCATTCACTGCAGATCCATCCTGAAAACTATAGTACATTACTTGATAGACCAACACAGGACCCAGTATTTTATTACAGCCAAAGTCATGTGCATAAGCACATAGTTAAGTTACCACTTAAGTTACTTAAGTTAAGTTACTTAAGTTACCACTGGGAAGCCTTCTTTCCTGCTAGCCCAGCTTAGTGCATGCGCATGATTGATAAACGCTCTGGACCACTTCTTCCTGCCATATATTCAGCAAGTTAATGTTTTCCTTGGCTGAGAAATGGGACTACAGTTAGTAGTGGGATTCAAAAATCTTTACTACCGGTTCTGTTGGTGTGGCTTGATGGACGTGGTGTGGCTTGGTGGGCGTGGCAAGGGAAGGATACTGCAAAATCCCTCCCCACCCCACTAACCTGCTTTCCAGCTCTGTTCTCCTGTGCAGGGCAACAAAAGAAGACCCAGCCGATCAGCTGGGATGCAGGAGGCAGAGAATAGATGGGGGCAGGACCAGTCAGAGGTGGTATTTGCCAGTTCTTCAAACTACTCAAAATTTCCGCTACTGGTTCTCCAGAACTGGTCAGAACCTGCTGAATACCACCTCTGACTACAAGACTTAGTAGTTCCCAACAGCCAGGCCCGACTCCAGGCCTACCCATCTTGGGATTCGCTTTCAGCCTGGCTGACTTCACACCCAAACACCCCACTTCTACCCAGGAAGACATATCAGCTTAGAGACGCAGAGGCTTAGAACTGCAGAATAACACGGGGCCCTTCCTATTCCTGCTGCTGTGCTGACTGGTGGAAGATTTCCTGCAGGCTGGAGACCTGCTAAAGAGGCACAGCAGCAAAGCCAGAGGGGAAAATCAATCAACGTGCCTAGGATAACAGGTATACTCACAAATCAGGAGAACCCAATTCAGCAGTGACTTGAATGAGATGTAATAGAGGCAACTGAAGAAATTGGCTGTGGCAGCGGATTTACTGGTGACATTTTTGTGTGCCAACACCAAGTGGGTTGATGGCACCATGTTAATTCCACAGTGCAGAAATGACCACAGCTGAAAGACATAACGGTTTAATACAGAGATGGGGAATCTGTGGCCATCGATGTCGCTGAACAACAGCATCAGGCAGCTGATCGAGCAGAGTCAATCCGCTGCCTGGTGACTGACATTGGGAGTTGTTCTTTAGCAACATAATCTCTGTCCTTCGCTTAGATTAGAAGCAGATAAATTTATGCTGAATTCCCCGGCTTTTCACCATCTGAAGATTCAGTTAGCATTGCATATCGGCTGCTGGATTGCTGTTATTTCTGGATGATCTGCAACTGTCCCTGGGAAATGGAATGATGTAATCCGTAAGATCCCTCTGTGGTGGTGATCTTAGGCATGGAAGGCATTGTTGGGATCACCACTGGGTGCAAGCAATGCTCATTTTATAGAGCCCCGAAGGAACAGCATTTCTATGCATCCATGGACATGCCTCCATTTCAATGTTATTTTGATGCAGACTAAGACAATCCTATTCTTCTAGGACTTTTATAGCTTTTTCTTTAAAGGCATACATTAAAATGCCTTCATTTTTTAAAAATTGTAATATTACCTGATGATATTAGTTTCATTGTTTTTACTACTACTACTGCTGCTGCTGCTGCTGCTATTACTACTACTACTACTACTACTACTACTACTACTACAGCAGAATTCTGGTTATTGGATAGAAATATTGGGTTAAATATAGCATCAAAATACACCTTGCCAAAATGGAATCTGCTCGTCCAGTCAAAACATCTCAAAAATGTCTGTTGAGAATATCTGTCCTCATTGCCCAAGAAATATGTGAAGTATGAGACATAGTCTTTTTTTTTTAAATGTGGCTCCAGGGTTTTATGTGGCTCTTAAAAGGAGGGATTAATTTTGCCCCTTACTTGCACTCTGTAAAGAACTAACAGTTACCTCACTCCACTGAGCTTCCAGCTCTGGTTAATTGTGGGGGGCATTTATCTAGGCTGGCTTGATTTGTGTGGCAGGGTTTTTTCAGAGGGGAATGTACACTTAGCTGTATGCTGTTTATGTTTACACTGGGGGGGTGGGGAGGAAGGAAGGAAATCAACTGCCACCTCATGTTTGCTTGTGTTTTGCTCTACTCAGTGGCAGACTGCATAGACTCTGGGGAGAGGGGAAATAGAACAGGGAAGACTTGGGGGAAAACTAAAGTAAGTGCTGTATCTCGTCCAGACGCTGCTACAAGGTTACCTGGAATATCATCTGCATACCAAACTGTGCCTGGATTGTCCGTTATGAAAACATCTTGCCTGAGCCCCATTGGTTGCCCGAAGGTGGGTAATGGGAGGTAGCTAAATGGGAAAAAGTTGAATTTAGGGCTTCTGGCGCATGATTCTCAGTTCTGGCTTTGCATTACTGCAACACACTTGACTTCTACTAATATTTCTCAACAAATGCAGCCAAAGATTGTTTCTACTTAGGAGTTTAAACTATGTCAGATCTGAAGGAAGGGAGGGAGGAAGGAAGGGAGGGAGGAGATGTAAACAAAATAGAGAGATAGAAATATGTCTCTCCACCATTGTGCAAAGTAGACAGCACATAAATGACATATTGGAGCAGTGGTGAAGTGAGGTATTCAAAACAGAATTGTGTGTAATTTGATTACTTTGGAGAGACATCTCACTGCTTCACTGCAAGCCATTTAACACTCTCTATGGCTCTGCTTCTGTAGTTTCTGTTCACATCCTAGGCCAGTTTCTCTCGCTCTCTCTTTCCCTCTCTCCCTCCCTCCCTCCCTCTCTCTCTCTCTTGTCCTAGTGCTCCTCAGATGTGTTCAAGCTACAAGTATAAAATTCTCACTGAAATATAGAGAGTTGAAGTTATAAGGCATATGGTGGGCATTGCACTGGGGGAAAGAACAAATGTGGCCAACAGCTATGCTGGCTTAACATTCTACATTTGGAGAAATTGCATTTCACTCAAGGGAGATTTCCCTTTTTTACTCCACATGTCTGGAAGGCATCAGGCTAGAAAGGCTGAATGAAATCTATGAAGTATGGTCAACTGGGAGTGCTTACAATAATGGGTTCATAGCTAAGCCAAAATATATCTGTCTTTCTTTGCTGTAAGCTTGTACGAAGCAACACAGTCTGGTTTATAGGTCACAAGTTTTGGGTAGCACAATGTAGTAACCCAACCAATTTTGGCTTTATCAACCCAACACTGGTAGGGCCATCACAGTTTAGCATGAACAGAGTCATCATTGAAATAAGCCCTTCTTTAACTAGCAAGGAAGCAAGGTGGGAACGATTAACACGTCTTCTCTGTATACTTTAATGGACTTCTTTAAAGGCTAAAATAGGCTGATCGAACAACTTCCTTTCTATAGGTGTCTTAAAATGAGGACTAATAGATTGAGAAACAGTTTCTTTTCCAAGGCAGTAATTGTCTTGAATCAAACAGTGCATTTGTGATTTAGTCCTGATATTATTATAATAATTATTTTAATTTTTAAATACTCTGTAGTATGATTGTGATGTCGTGTTTGGGGCACTGTGCTGGAGTAGCTTTCAAATTTCATTGTATTCGTGAAATTCAATGACAGTAAAGGTATTCTATTCTATAAGAAATCTACCATGCTATTATTTTTGAAAGAGCACCACTGTTTTATACATAATGTGGCATAATATGGAAGCAATTTGGAATGTCAAATTCCCTGCCTGTGGGAAGATGATTAATGACATATAAAGACATATAAGACCACATTGTGACTGCTTTCATTTACCATTAGGAAACTACAAGGCAAATGAATGAACCTGTCTAAGAGATCAGATGCCCCTGCACTGTCCTTTAGGATTGGCCCAGCTCCACAAACAGCGACAGATCTAATTTAGAAGGGAGCTGCAGGCCCTGAATCTCTCCGCGATGGGGCATTGTGCTCCTTGCTAGGTCACAGCACGCCCAAGGAAGGCAGAGAACCACAGGGAGGTGATTTCTCATCTGCTGGCGGCTAGTGGATCATCGATGACTTTTGGATCAGCGTGGAAAATGCACAGGCTGAGAAAGATTGAAAGAGCTGGAAAAGCGAAACTTCATGCCTTCCAAACCAATAATAATTCCGGCTTGTTGGCGTCGATGTGCTAAGCGCTCTTGTGGCCAATTTGCCTTTCCAGTAGCTCTGTCTGACTTGGCAAAGTCTGAGAGAAGTAGTAGTCGGCATGCAAGCCCAACATGGTGTATTTCAGGGCATCCTTTAGTTGAGGGCCATTTCATCCCTTCACTTCTGGGAACGCTCAAAAACTGATTGAATTGACCTTTGCCTGTGGAACCATAAACAGAACTTTAATTGGAAGGAAAAAGAAGGAATTATTTGGCTTCTCAGTCAAAAACTAATGAAGGTTGGCATTTTCTGTTATAAGGAACCGGTTCCGTGGAGATTGGTTTTTCTGGGGACCGGAGGGGGTGTGGTTTTGTGTGCTACCTGCATCCCGCTGATGGGGCTTCACTTGTTTGCACGGCCCAGCTTCTGGCATGCCGTGGCCCCAGTGCCAGACTGGGGATGAGGGACCCTTGTACTAAAGGAAAAAGAGAAAGGAAATAGCCAGATTTGTCTTTACTGTGGCAAACTTGGAGAAAGGAGTTTGTATAAGAAAACTTGCAGGTCAAGAATTTGGTGTTTTTATTTTTGGCACTTGGGAATCCCCCCTTACAAATCAACGGTATCTGCAGGAGGCAAAGCAGACAATATGACATCCATGGTGTCTACCATCTTGCCTGTTTTGACCTCCATCCAGTGGTGGGATTCAAATTGTTTTTACTACCGGTTCTGTGGGCATGCCTTGGTGGGTATGGCAGGGGAAGGTTACTGCAAAATCCCCCATTCCCTCCCCATCCCACTAACCTGCTTTCCAGCTCCGTTCTCCTGTGCAGGGCAACAAAAGAAGACCCAGCCGATCAGCTGGGACTCAGGAGGCAGAGAATAGATGGGGGCAGGGCCAACCAGAGGTGGTATTTGCCGGTTCTCCGAACTACTCAAAATTTCCGCTACCGGTTCTCCAGAACTGGTCAGAACCTGCTGAATTCCACCTCTGGGTCCATCTCATCTTTGCTCCTGTTTTTTGATAGCTTCTTTCTCTTTCCGAGATTGCCCGCACTTACTGTATTTTCACATCAACTCATTTTATTTGGTTAAAAAGCGAAGATGATTGAGATGGAGCCAGAACTGAAAGGGTTAAATAACCCTGTATTCCCATTTCTGTTTTTCCACAGCTTGTCTCTCTCTCATTTCCTACCTGCATCAACTCAAATCAAAAGGACACTCAGGGAGGGGAAGAACAATGTTAGTTTTAAGGCTTTGAGGAATTTGCAGGCCTTGACTTCTGAAACCCCACCTCAGTGTGGAAGGCCAAGGGGGTGTTTTAGGGAAGTAAGGAAGCAAGGCAAGCAAACCACAAGGCATTCTGTAATTCCTAAAGGGGGAAGGCAGGGTTTTCCTAAGGAGAAACAGGGCATGCTAAAACTATCGCACTTGTTTGGTTTGTGATTAAAACCGCCACTTCCTGGTATTTACGCTTCTCCGATTACTCCCTGTAGTAAGGAAAGAAAAACAACATAGGAAAAGCAATTTGGCAACAGATAGCACTGCCAAAACTTGTAATATTAGTTGTTGCTGTATGATTTAAGGGAATCTGTGTCCCTTTGTAATTGGAGATGATGAATTGGTTGTCTGCATCCGCTAGCTATATCAACAGTAGAAAACTCCCATAAGGCTTCTGTACTCTTGTAGTAGGTCTCGTTTCTAATGGGACTTCGTTATTTATCATATTTATACTTTGTTCTGCTCCACGTCCAAACAGTACAGGTAGTCCCCGACTTATAACAGTTCATTTAGTGACCGTTCAAAGTTACAACAGCCCTGAAAAAAGTGACTGATGACCATTTTTCACACTTACGACCATTGCTGATCCCCATGGTCAGGTGATCAAAATTCAGGTGCTTGGCAACTGGTTCGTATTTATGACGGTTGCCATGTCCTTGGGTCATTTTGAGACCTTCTGACAAGCCAGATTCACTTAACAACCATGTTACTAGCTTAATAACTGCCATGAGTTACTATGGCTAGAAAGGTCGTAAGATGGAGCAAAACTCACTTAACAATTGTCTCACTTAAGAACATGAATTTTAGGCTCAGTTGTGGTCATAAGTTGAGGACTACCTGTATAGCAGTCCCCACACAGAAGTTAGCTGGCAGAAGTTAAGTTAAGGAAGGGTAAAGAAGAAGATAATGAATTTTAGAAGAAGATAATGAACTTAAGAGCTTAGCAAAAACTGGAGTTGAAGTATTTTCATTTCCTGATGCCATCAGAAGCAAGAAATAATTAAGCCAAAGAGAGCGACCTGCCCATTTGATACTTCCCTGTTGTACAATATTAGGTCAGAACCAGTGGTGAGATTCAACTTTTTTTACTACTGGTTCTATGGGCGGGGCTTGGTGGGCGTGGTGTGGCTTGGTGGGCGGGGCTTGGTGGGCATGGCAGGGGAAGGTTACTGCAAAATCTCCATTCCCTCCCCACCCCACTAACCTGCTTTCCAGCTCTGTTCTCCTGTGCAGGGCAACAAAAGAAGACCCAGCCGATCAGCTGAGACTCCAGAGGCAGAGAATAGATGAGGGCAGGGCCAGTCAGAAGTGGTATTTGCCAGTTCTCCGAACTACTCAAAATTTCTGCTACCGGTTCTCCAGAACGGGTCAGAACCTGCTGAATTCCACCTCTGGTCAGAACCAACATATTTATTGCTGTTCAAATTCAGGGTCAGGCCCAAAAGTAGCAAAAAAACATTACAACTAGGAGTCTTTACAGAGAGATGAAAAATAAAGTAAAAAGGAACGGATGAGGTTGCAAAGAAAGATTCTAGCAGTAATGTCTCCAGATATATTTGGAGAGCCCAGAGGCCCAGCCCCTTCTCGTCCTCCTTCCTCCCAGTTCAAATCTTTCTCAACCTGCCATATTAGCTGATTCATACGTTCAAAGACCGCTTTGGTTTGCCTACTCATTTCACCCAGTGTAAAACGACAGGGAGGACCCCTTCCATAAAAATAACAGGATCAATTTTACAATTGTTTCAATTACATTCATTTGATTTAAAATCACCGGTTTTGCTAATTCATTTACTGTATGCCGGCTTTCTTTTTCTTTATTTTTGGCAACCTCTTACGTGAGTCAGTTTTAGTAGCTATGTCTCTATTCAGATGCCATTTTATTTTCCAAGAATTTCCTGGGCTATGTCAAACTGTGGCATTCTAGGAAAATACCCGCTGGCATTTTTTACTTCCAGA